ACCCCCCTGATGGGCCCTGCTCTGTGAGTGACAGGGGGCAGCACCCCAACCCCCTGATTGGCCCTGCTCTGTGCGTGACGGGGTGGCGCCGCAACCTCCCCATCGACTCTGCCTTGAGTGTGACAGGGGGCGGTGCCCCAACCCCCCAATCAGCCCTACCCTGAGCGTAACTAGGGGTGGCATCGCAACCTCCCGATCCGCCCTGCTCTGTGCATGACAGGGGGCGGCACCCCAGCTCCCCAATCGGCCCTGCTCTGAGCCCGACCAGGGGCTGCACCTAGGGATTGGGCCTGCCCTCTGCCACCCGGGTGCAGGCCTAAGCCAGCAGGTCGTTACCCGAGGGGTCCCAGACTGCGAGAGGGCACAGGCCGGGCTGAGAGACCCCCCCGCCCCCCCGAGTGCACAAATTTTTGTGCACCGGGCCTCTGGGTCATATCATGATTTGTTTATTTTGGTCATTTTCCTGCCATTACCAAAGACCGGTCACCAGGAGTCCTAACGCTGTAATAACCCAAAGACCAGTCACCAGGAGGCTGCGTGTGAGGCGTGCGCGGGTGGGCGGGGACTTGACTCTGGGTCTCATGGCACGGTGGGACTCGGGGGCGTCCCGCGGTGCGGTGGGGTCTGGGGTCCTGGGTCTTGTGCGATTTCGCGCTCTGGGTCACTAGTATGTACATATGTGTCCATATATTTTCATTTATTTATTCTTAACTTCTTTATACTTCTCTGAACTTGCGTTTCCTTTGTGAAGTGAAGATGACAAAGCCGTGTGCCTGCTCGGACTGTTGTGCAGATCAAATGCATTCCTTCCTAAAGACGTTTACAATGGTGGCTCATAAAGAGTGTACGTACGTACGTAACGGTTAGCTGTCTTTATCACTAATTTTAACAGCACCAAACAGCGTTTGTAAACACTGATAATGACAATGAAATAATTCTAAGTACTCATTATTATCATAATGTCTATAATCAATGCAGACCTCCTGCTTGGAAAAAAATGTAGTTTCTTAGGAATTCAAAGTGATTCATTTGGGTTAAATGTTATCAATCATTTGAGAATTTTAGAGAAGAGTCTATCCTTGAGCAGTTTAAGAAGATAAAGTGATTGTCTCTGTTCACTGAGCTCTCTCTT